CTGGGTGCCATGAGCAGTCACTGGAGGGGTTTAAAGGAAGGGAAATAACTTATCCCTTTATTATTTAAGGGATTTTATTTCTCTTCTGAGGTCTTCCTGACGGCTGGGTGGAGAATGGAAGTCCAGCGATGAGTTAGACCGTGGCTTTTGCAGTGATCTAGGAGAGAGGTGACAGTCCCTTGTACTAGGACCAGAGCAGTGGAGATGGTAAGAAGTGGCAGGATTCTGAATTTGTTTGGAGGCAGAGCCCTCAAGATTTGCTGATGGATTGGATATTTGAGGAAAAGAAGGGCTCAAGATGACTCCGTGGTCTGGGGCCTAAGCTTCCTCATGAATGGTGGTATTATTTTTCGAACCTGTAAAAAGTAGGAGAGGAACAGTTTTGCTAGGGAAATCAAGAGTTCTGTTATGGCCAGGAAGGGATAAGATAGATGTCCTTTAGATAAACTAGACAGCATGTTTCCTCTGGTCCTAGAGAAGCTCAAAACTCTTTACTCCTGCATTTATTCACTCAACTAAAATGTACTGTCAGGCCCTGTTCTAGATGCTGGAGCCAACAGTAATCAAAGCAGATTGTTAATCTTAAAAATACAACTGCCAGTTAAGATGGGTTTATTTGGGAATGGCAGAGAATTACAATTTGGGTCAGGCAAGCCAAGGAAAAACCATAGGCAAGTCCAAAAACAAAAGAGGGGAACCTTACTTTATGGAGAAGAAGGAGGAAGTTGGGAGGGGTTGTTTTGAACAAGAGTCCATTGGAGAGAAGCAAGAGTTCAAGTGATGACAGTTTCTCATCCACTGAGTTACAGGGGTAGTTAATTTCTTGAAGAAGATGCAATGTACATCTCATGTTGGGGCCTGTTGAGGATTCTTCTGTTGGGTCTGTAATTGACAGTTCTTTTCATAATTGAGGTTGAGTCCTACCAACACCCCCTACCATCCTCCCATTCTGGCATCCCAAACCCGTATTAGTAAGGTTTCCCTTTATTAATTTTCACAAGATTAAATTCCAGCCTTCACGGAGCTTACATTCTAGTGAGGGAGATAAACTATTATAAACACAATCCAGGTAGAGACAGGTATCATAGAGAAAAAACTTATTTAATTCACCCATCTACTCAGAAAGTACCTTCTTTTTACAAGCGACTAGGCTGGGTATGATTAGTCAGATTCTACCCTGAAAAGACACTAACATAAAATCTGTTACATAGACAACACAAAAAGAAGTGACAAAAAGATACTTACAAAGCACTAAGTTCAAAGCAGAATGAGATCAGTTTCAAATGGCAGCATCTAATCAAGAAAAATTAATGAAAGGTGTGGTATTTAAACTGCGTCTCAAAGGAAAGATAAAGTTTAAATATACAGTAATGGCAGGCAGCTGCCTACCACAAGGAAAACTAAAGGAGAGGGATAGAAATATAGGCTAGGGCCAGATCAAAGAAAGCAATGAAAGCCAACCTGAAAACGGAATTATTTAGGGGCGCCTGGGTGGCTCCGTCAGTTAAGCGTTTGACTCTTGATTTCTGCCCAGGTCATGATCTCAGGGTGGTAAGATTGAGCCCCACATCTGGCTGCCTGCTCAGCAGGGAGTCTACTTGAGATTCTCTCCCTCTTCCTCTGCCCATCCCCCCAAAATTAAAAAAAAAAAGGAAGGAAGGAAGAAAACAAAAGTATTTGGTTGGAAATGGAGGATAGAAAGAAGCACATTTAGTATTTAAGCCCACTTTGGGCAAAGTAAAATGCTGGATAAATAGAATTTTGAAGAACATCCTAAAGACCAGTTGTTTAACAACCATCTGGGAATATCAATTCCTTATGGCCCCAGGAAACAAAACCCCTATATTGATTAGATGATAATGGTCAAATAATTCTACAGAAGAAAACTATCTTCACTAGAAAGTTCTAACAATCTACCTTGACTGCATTTCTGAAAATCCAAAATTGACAACTGATATTTGTGATTATTTTTCTGTCGTAGGATAGGTTTGCTTTCAGTAGCTTTCAAAATTCTTTGATCCCAACCCACAGTAAGAAATACATTTTACATCACAACTCAGAATATATGCATATGTATAAATCAAAATTAAAGTTTTATGGAATAGTACTTAGCATTATTGTATATAGCATAGTGGTATCTTTTATTCTATTTTGTTCTACGGCACTCAAGAAAAAAAGCTCATAGTAATCCACTGAATTCATCTCTATCTGCCACTGGGTTCCATGCTGCAGTTGGAATAACATTCTTCTAAAACATTAGCTGGAAATTAAGCAAAACTGTAGCACTTCCAACCAACAAGCACTGGGCAGCACAGGCTCCCAGAAACTGGGAAAGGGCACTGTGTCCCACGCATTTTAGCCAAAGCATATCAGGCCTCAGTTGGAAGCCACTTGAGTTAACAGATGCACCTCAGATTGGCCTTTGAAAAACGGCAAAAGAAAAGCAGACGTTTCAATACCTCCCCCCTTTTTTTTTTCACCATTTACCGTTCAGGTTCTAATACAGAGGTCAGAACAAGATTACAGACCTTCCCTCAACACACAAACACACACACACACACAACACGCATACACACCCCCTTAATTTTACAGGTTCTCTGAAGCATGTGTTGTGATACAAACCACCAAAAAGTCCAAAGGACAAGAGATCCAGCTGTGAGGGTGCAACCTGCCAACCAAAACCACCAACCCTGAGGGCTTCCTTAGCACATCTGACTGGGCAAGGGGACTCACCTGGATGAAACAGCGGTTTAAGACCTTCTGATTTTTATCAGTTGAAACCTGATATAAAGAAAATTGCAGGGAGTCCTCTCTAACCCACCACTAAGATTGCTCTCCTAACAAGAGTTGATTGGTTTTATTAGGGAACGAATGTGGAAGAAAGGTAAGTTTTTTCAGCTGATTGTGTGTCAAATGCCAAACCTACCTTGGGAAAGTTCACAATCTCCCTGGGGAGACCAGACTACAAACTGGAACAATTTTGAATACAAGACAGCACAGGTTTAAAAAGCCCAGCACCACATGGTTTAGAAAACAATTCGTGCAAAAAAAGGGGGCCGACCTGAGGCTCAGTGACTAAGCCTCGAGGGATGGTCAGGGGAAAGTTGGGCACAAAAGCAAAAGAGAGTATTGTTTAGGTGGGACTGGTCTGACCAGCACAAGGGGTGGGGACCCGAGGAGGGCAAAGGGGAAATCAGGTCCTCCCTTGTCAATCATGAACGCTGGTGCAGGCCCAGGACACCCGCAGCCTCACGTGCCACGGAAATAGAGAGCTGTACAGATTTCCTCAGGAAAACATTGAAAGCAAAAATTGTGATCACACCCAACCCTTTCCTCTATGCCCTGCCCAATCTCTCCCACGTCCCCAAAAGGAAGAGAGCAGTAGGTCAAACTCGTTTGTTTATTCATTCATTCAACAAGCATTTCTCCTAAGGGCCCTTTGTTTCCAGCAAGGGAAGTTCTCGTTTCCTTTCCGTAGAGGATTCCGCCGCGAAGGGGCCCCCTAGTTGCCTGGCTCAGCAAGACCACATCACCACTGGAAAGGAAGGACCGGCTCGGGAGAAAGTCTCCCGGACCAGCATTCCAGTGGAGCCAGCGCCTTTGTAAAAGGCGAGGAGGGCGAGAAGAGCTCTCAAATTGGGTCGGGGGTGGTGGAATGAGTGAAATTTGTCTGCAAAAGGAAAACTGGGCACTCCTACATCTCCTCAAAAGAGAGGGTTCCCCCCAACCCGAGGCCCAACCGGGATCTCCTCTCAAGGGGTCTGGCTTGCTGGTCAGGATGTAGCATTTCCCCTAGTAGGGTTTTCCACGTTGGTACAAAAAGGATAGACCGAAATGCAGCTGCCAACTGATCCCGCCAGGCTAGTTTTGAAGAGAGCAGGTCTAGTTGGAGAAGAAAGAACGAGAACGGAAACCGACCATGGAGACAACGTTGCTGCATTAGTCCAAGTTTGCGAGAGAAAAACCCCAAGTCAGTCACAAAAATAACAGGCAGGAAAGGGTTGGGTGGGCGGGATGTGTCCCCAAAAATCCTTGAGGAGAAAGCAAAGACTGCTGGTAACTCGGACGTAAGGGATTGAAGGAGAAGGCTCCGGAAAGACAACCGCATGTGTTGGGCACCTATCGAGGTTGAAATGAACTTGCCAAGGGAAGCATGGGGAGGAGTCTTTCGGGCCTGACCAGGAGACCTAAGAGAGCAGGGTCTGGCTTTGCCCGAGGGTGGGGGACGCCAGCGGGCGGGGCCGGCCGCCCGAGTGGGCCGGGTTGGGGGGAAGGAGGGGTAGGGAGGAGGAGGAGTGGGGGCAGGAGGGGTAGGGGGAGGAGGGGTGGGGGGCAGGGGCGGGGTCTACGGGCCCCGGGCGGGCCGGGGGCGGAGCCCAGGTAGTGTTGATACACAAAGAGAAGGCACCCGGGCGGCCGCGGCCCCGCCCCCTGACGCGTCCTCCTGAGCTGCCGCTATAACCCGCTGCCCGGCAGGCAGCACCATAGCCGCGCGACGCCGCTGTCCCGGAGCGCCTTCCCCCACAGCACCGCCCGCAGCCGGGCCACGCGTTCCCGCACACTCGCGCCTTTCCCTAGAGACGGCGGACGCTGGACGATTGGAGTGGCAACAACTTGCCATTTCTTTTTTTTTAATTAAAATTATTTTTCCTGCTTATTGTTGGTTTTTGTTTTTGTTTTACGATTTTTGTTAGCCGAGAGAAACCCACCGAAGGCGTTTACGTGACGTTCCCGGGATACAGGAGCGGAGACCACCGAGGTAACGCGTGCGGGGGCGTCTGTGAGAAGGGCGCGGGGCCCCGGGCGGGAGTGGGGGAGGGGCGTCCGGGAGGGGCCGCGGCGGGAAGGCAGCTGCGGAGGTTGCTTCCTCCCGGCCCTGGCGTGTCGGGTCGGCTGGACCCGCCTTCGGTTCCGGCCCGTACGGGGGTCGCCGCTCTCCTCGGGCGGGGTAGGGGCGCGGCGCGGGGACCGTGTACCCGCCGGGAGCGGAGCCGCATCTTTCCGTTAGGGGGAGGGGAACCAGCCCGGCCCGCGGCTCCGCTGCGGCAAGTCTTGTGACTGGTTTGCATTAATTAAAATATTAGATCGAGGGGCCCTGCAATATGGGGGCAGCGGAGGAGGTTTCGGGCTTCTGGTATACAGAGGCCACGATTGGGGAAGACGGGCCAGGAACATTTGATAATCGGAGATCGATATTGCATCAGTTTCTTTTCCGGGCATAGGAGTGGCCGGCCGGGCGAAGCGCTCGCGAGCCAAATGCCTGTAGACGAGTGTGCTCGAGGGTACGGGCGTGCGCGTGTAAACAAACCCTCGGCGCCTCTGGTCGCCGAGGAACGGGCGTTCTCCCCTTCTTGGGAGAGGCCCCATGTCAGCCCTTTCTGCCCCCTTTGAGTCCTCTCTGCCGCAGAGGCATTTCCGCATGTGGGGACTCCGGGCATGAAAAGACGGGTTACGCGCATTGCCGTTGTAAATGCTAGAAACTGGGTGGGATGTGTGCCCTGCATGCCTGTGCACGACCAGAGAGGCTGGAGGAAAGCCGAAACAGAGCCCCCGTACACCCCTCCCCTCAAACTTGAGATAATGGAGAGGGTGCAATACTAAAATTCTCTGGAGAGGGGCCTGGGGGTCCGGAGGGCGCGGGCCTCTGCGGGCGCATCGCCGCGGTGGGACCATCTTTGTTCTCCGCGGCTCCGCTGTCTGTACTTTTCCGCCCCTCGGCGCGCCCCCGCCCCTCGCGCTCAGCTGGTACTTTTCCACTCGCCTGGCCGGGGATGAATCAGCCGCGCTGCGCCTCCCGGAGGCGTCACGTGACCCCGGCGGGCGGGCGCTGCAGTCTTGACGCGCCGCCTCTACCTTCGCAGGCAGCTGCGCGGGCCGGTGCACCGCCAAGGACAAAAGGAGCCCAGTGTTCATCGCTGCACCCTCTATTCCTCCTGGTGCCAGCATGAAGAAAGCCGAAATGGGAAGGTTCAATATTTCCCCGGATGAGGACAGCAGCAGCTACAGTTCGAACAGCGACTTCAACTACTCCTACCCCACCAAGCAAGCTGCTCTGAAAAGGTGGGAGAAGTTGTGTGCTTTTTTTTAAAACTAAGCCCTGCGGGGGTCAGGGGTTCTTTACCTAGGACTCTGTTTCGGTTGCGGTAATTTACCGTAGTATTTGGAGAGTGTATAATCTCTGAGAGTATCCGATTGTCGCAATGACAGTATCTCTTGTGAAAGTCGATTCCTACTTAAACACGCATTTCACGGAAGGTGTGTGACAACTAAAGGGCTGTTGGTGTTAAAGCATTCCGTTGTATGTTTCAAAACGACTTAGAACTCTTTTTTTTTTTTTTCCCTCACAGCCATTATGCAGATGTAGATCCTGAAAACCAGAACTTTTTACTTGAATCAAATTTGGGGAAGAAGAAGTATGAAACAGACTTTGTAAGTTGAAAATAATAATTTGTGTGTCTGTGGCTTTATGGAGTAAAAGAATAGTTTTACTTTTAGATTTCAATCTAAGTTGGCCAAAGCTGGTTTTCTCCATTTAATTATTGTTATATGTTTGGTTATCGTTTTCCCTCTATGTAGCATCCAGGTACTACTTCCTTTGGAATGTCAGTATTTAATCTGAGCAATGCGATTGTGGGCAGTGGAATCCTTGGGCTTTCTTATGCCATGGCTAATACTGGAATTGCTCTTTTTATGTAAGTATGTGTAAGTAGTGAGTCTGCCATGCAGGGCAGTTAATATGATGATAAAACATAAAACTTTTGGCTCCAGAGACGGAATTTACAGTCGAAATAGTTGACTTAAAAATCATTTGTGTGAAATTTAAAATGAGAAATCCAAAAACCTCCTCATTCTAGTATCTAACTGCATGATATCAAGAAAGCCAATTAGAAATAGGACAACACTGAAAACTGATAATTAAACCAAAAGTATTTAAGTCAATGGGAATAGTTAAAGTTGTAACAGGGGTTGGATGTTTAAAAAGAACTATTGATAAATCCAAGGTAGTTATTTGTTCTGGGAAAATGGGAAGAAAAAATATTAATAAGCATGGTACATCCAGGTCAGTTTATAAATTGACATAGTCTCCCCAAGAACCTTTGCATAGGGCAAACAGACTTTTTAGAATATATAGGGTGTGGTGGTATTTGCTTAACCTAGAACATGTTTGTTCTAAGAAAAGTGAGTCATAACTTTCTGGACACTGAAAAGAAACCCATATGTTGGTTTTTTTTTGTTTTTGTTTTTGTTCTAATATTTATTTCTTCCAGGTCTGTGTGATTGCCACATGCCATAGCAAAAAATACATATATATTTTAATAAGTACCTGCTTTTAAATGTTCTTTTCCCTAGTTGCCCAGTCAAAATGATTTATTCCTGTGCTTTCTAGCATAAATGCCTAGAATAGGATTTTGGAGCAATAGAAGACTTTAGAGCAGTGGTTCTTAAACCACTGTGTGGGGTCACTGATTCTCAGAAAATATAATAAGAAAAGCAGGAACCCTATTTCCAGGGGGAAAAAGATACAAAATAAAAATACATGTGAATTTGAATATACATTTTCAATGATATTTGTACTGTAGCTGTTAATTTTAAGTACCCAGGGGCCCCCGGTAAGGCAATTTCTGTGGAAGATAGTGTGACTTACTGCACAGATGAAGAAACCACACCTTACAGGGAGCAGAGAATTGTCCCTTTGTGACAGATGTGTTTTAGTTAGCTGACTGGTGCCATCTACTCAAGTGATTTTCTCCAGCAGAACAGAATACTCATGAAAAGAAAAGCAGACCTTTGCAAAGTTCTGCTTTGTGGGTGAAATTCTGTACTGAAGTTAAGCCTGGCTTTGAACATTGGAAGCTAGGATTCCAGCAGTTTGCTTTATTAGCATGAAGCTTTCTGAGATCTTTTACTAAGATGAAGGAATTTACATAGGAAGGACCCTAGAGTTTTAAAGTTTTTACTGGGGAACTTGAATGGCCTCATTGTTAAATATTCCAAAATCCTTCCTGACTCTTACTATAACAACTGGAGACAGTCTTTAAATGCTGCCAGTGTGGTTATAGTTAACATGAGATAAAATGGCACCTGTTTCATAAGTGACAGCAAAATTCTGATGTTACCCTTGCAGCTTTGAAATTATACTTTAATAAGGTCTATGTGTTTGATTAACCCTTTGAATAAATGGTTAAATAACATCAAAAGTGCGGAAGGGAGTTTTTAATCCCATCGGTATTTTACAAGGTATATTTAGAGGATGTAGAGATAAGTGGGCCAGAAGCCATGTGGCTGTCACAGTGTGGTTAAACAGCTCTAGTTAACCTTACTAGGCAGACTCAGCCTTGAGCTTGAAAGTGACCTCAAAGGTTATGAAGTCCCTTTATGCCTCATTATAATCTCAGTGTAAGAAAGGAGGACTGAATTTGTCAGCATACTTTGAACACTGTTTTTGATTAAACTAACAACTTTGTTCAGTTAGAGGTAAGGCCGATGGTGTCATTTTTCCACCTTTGACTAGGCCCCATAAAGGTTTTGGCGTTAGAATGGCAGTTCAGTGCCACCACCTGTGTTTTAACTAACAGAGCTCAATTCCTTTGCTAGACCTTCTGTGGTACCGGATTCAGTTTTCTGTACAGAATCAAAAAAAGGAACCATTTTGTTTGCAGATTTTTCTATGGGTTTCCCTGATATTTTTCTTGTTGTTTTTAATAGAAAAGAAATCCATATTTTCTTTGGCTTGCCCAGGAGGGGAGGAAAGGAAATCTGAAATGAGAGAGAATTTGTATCCTTAAAGGAAAACTAAGTGACATTAGGGAACCTCTGGTTCCCTCCCTATCTATGGAGCAAAGAGGTGCTCCAGTCAGACTGATGGGCTCCTTGTTCTAGCACAGGCATTGTTTAACTTTGTCATGACCCTGGGCCTGTATTCCACACCATGGCGTGCAATATAGTCTGTTGTCTCAGTGATTACTTCTCTGACTTGTGCCCAGTTGTTTGTAAAGCTGTGCCTGATGATTCCAGTGTTCGTATCGCTCTCCCTTCGTAGTCCCATTCCTCTTATTTGTGTAGTCCAAGCGATCTCAAGATCTTCCCTGAACCTGTCTCAGTTGGATTTCACAAGTGCCTTGTGCGCTGGATTTTTACTGGCAGACATTACCATCATTTTACAGATAAAAGGAACTATTAAAATGCAGAGAAGTGGCAAGAATACAGTTAAATATTATGGTGCCAGAACCAAATTATAAGTCTCATAACTCCACCACCTTAAAGTTAAGCTTTCCTGGGTCTCCTGACACATTGGGTGCAGCGGGTAAACCCCAGCTCTTAACCAGTACCGTAGAACTAACACCTGAGACATGATGGAAGTTCTTAGTACCAGGCTAAGAGAAGATGTTAACACTCTAGCCAGGATGGTAAACGCCAGTTCTTAGGGGCTTTCTGTCTAGCACAGAAATATTAGGACACGTTCCATATTTAATGTTTTGTTAACGAGCAAAAGAATTGTCTTTAAATATAGCAATGCTTATTTATAACCCTGTGCCTTTTCCTTCTCTCATCAGAATTCTCTTGACATTTGTGTCAATATTTTCCCTGTATTCTGTTCATCTCCTTCTGAAAACTGCCAATGAAGGAGGTATGGTAGCATTCTTGATATTTCTAAAACAATTAGGCCTGTCAGGATTTTCTTCCTTCCCTCATGCTTCTGTGTTCTTCATATTTTAGGGTCTTTATTATATGAACAGTTGGGACATAAAGCATTTGGATTAGTTGGAAAGCTTGCAGCCTCTGGATCAATTACAATGCAGAACATTGGAGGTAAGAATTTTTTAAAAGGTGATTTGGGTAGACTTTTTGCTCTTTATGTAGCACAGAGTGGTGACACGTTACTTTTGGTGTCACATGCCACATTTTGCACTTGTAATGGTATAATTTTGTTTTCCTCCAGCTATGTCAAGCTACCTCTTCATAGTGAAATATGAGTTACCTTTGGTGATCCAGGCATTAATGAACATTGAAGATACAACTGGGTAGGTGCTAAGTAAGGTTACTCATAAGAAAAATTATAGTCTAAAATGGTTAGATACATTTTATCAAAGTTGATACAAGATAATTATCAATAAGTTATTTTTTGTAAATGTTCCTCTTGAAATTGACCAAGAAGTCCCTCAGACTGATTTGAAGTCTTAAGAATGAAAGACCAAAGATCGAAGCTTGTGCTGTAATTCTGGATAATAATTTCTCTAACCTGTGTGTGAAAGCAGGTTTTCTAGAGCTTAACTTTTCTCTTGATATTTATTCTCTAAGAAATTGTAGCTGAGTAACACAAAGTCTAACCTAAGTCAGGTTGAAGCTTTGAATTACATTTCAAATCAATCCTGTCTGATTTTTTTTTTTATAAATTTGAAATTCTTAAAACTTAATCTGTTCAAATGCATAAGACCAGAAAATGTATGGCCATGTTGTAGAAACCTTATCCTTGTAGCACAGTTCTTCCTCCCAGTGGACTAACAGGTTTTTATCTAAAGTAAACACAGGGAAGGGCAATTTACTTCCCCACTTACTTGCAGCTCACTATCTCTAAATAGAGAAGTGTGGTTATCTCGTTGGCTTTAGAAATTTAATAAGCTGATCTTTAAACATTAGTTTTCTGTGGGGTCTCTGTTGCTGAAATAAGTAAGTGAAGTGGAATTCACAGGACAATTAATTTGAAAATAGTGATTTAAAAGGGTATGGTTGATTACCTGGAAAGGAAAAGACATTGCTAGAACTCGTAGAGGAGAC